TTATTGATTCCCACATACCTAAGGTATATTCTACCCTAATCCAAATTATTCCTCATGGTTTTCTATCTATTAACAACTAATTTTACAAACTAAATATATATATCTGTATATTAGAAATTCATTCTTACCAAAATCTTAAAAAAAATCACTTATATAGACGTTAAAACGTTATACCCTTCAAGAAGCCTTCGCCTAATGATCGCCAAAAAGTTTGTTTAATGACTTTTTTGAGCCAAACAAGAGATTTCTCACGAATCAAAAGCCAGGAATAGCCACTGCAAAAGAACAAAGAGTGAGCGGGAAAAATGAAATAAAATAAAATAGCAGAAAACAGAAACAGAAATCAATGTCCATAATCCAATTTGGTTTATTGTGTGGCGGACCAAATTAACCGCGAAACATGTGTGTGTGTATATGCGGGAATATATATACATATATCTCAATAATTTATTGCATTTCAGCTGAGAGATCCGAGCTTCAATCAAATCTTTTATGTCAGAGATTAACGATTAAAGTCATTAGCAGTTAAGATCGAGATCAGTCAAACAGTTGACGCTCCGCGGAGACCCAGATCCGGACTATAACCATACACAAAAGGCAATACAGTTCACTCTTTTTATCGCTTTTGGCATTTTTAATGCCATGTCTGGGGCCTAAGGTGAATCCCGGCTGTTCGGATCGCCTTCAGTTGGGTTTATTGTTTCCCCACTCCGGGGCAGGACGAATATTAAAAGGGCAGAGTTATAAAACATTAGCGCATATTAATCATTTTCCTTTTGCCTGCTGCCCCACGTATGTACAAAAAATCCATTTATTCGTTTCCATTTCTGGATCTTGATGAGTTGCAGTCGAGGAGTGGAGGAGCCGAGGAGCTGCCAAGCGAAATTCAATTAAAGTTTTTGATGTAACCATTCTCTGGTCGCATTCCGGGAATATAATATTCATATATACATATATATCCAATGGTTTCTTGGTTCCGCAGCCACAACTGTCAAAATATTGACAGCGGCATCCGTTATGCTTTTTCGCCCAAATTGATATTCTATTTTTAAAAAAAGTCAGAGAGTCTGTGCGACTGACTCCCCGACTTCATTAAAAATTGTGGCCCCAAAATAGGGTAGAAATCGAAATAAATATGAGTAGAGAGAAGTATGAAATGCGGCTGGCCAAGTTAATGATGCCCGGTGAGCCATAATGGAGACACTCTTCCTGCCCTCTCTGTCGCTTGACAAGCTCCTGACAGTTAGCTGCAGTTTATGAATGAATTCCCCCGACTCGCTTCTAACTGTCTATTTGTGGAGCTGGGAGCTTTTTTTCTCCATAATTATTAATGGAAACAAGCTCGGAACCGAGTTAGGAACCTGGCCAAGCCTCAAGCCAAACGTGGACTGTGTGAAGCTATGGCCGGCCCAAACCCATCGGATGAGATCCCCCAGTATCATCATCAATTATCGCCGCCGCCGCTCGTCGCCTCATTCATATCTGGTCAATCAATTTGGCTTTAACCCCGTCCTAGCCCCTTTCTAGCCCTGTCCTAGCCTTCCGCTCCTAGCCCAAGGGCTAGAGGCACCGACAGGTAGAGACTCTTGGCTCAACGGCGGAAAATCGCTTTCTCACACATCGCTGTGTGTGCGCCCGTCCATCGATGGATTGACAAATTGCATTCCCCGGATTAATGATCGGGCTAAATGGCATTTAATTAATTGATCGGCTGACCCCTCGTCTCCCTTCGGTTCATTGTGTTGAAACTGTAAATTGCCGGTAAATTATATATAATTATATTCGCATTTTTTATCTGCTCTGAACGAAACCCCGAAGCAACTAAATTTGGATGATCTACATTCACAGCGGGAATTAATTTATGCAATCAATTAATTAGTCATTAATTGTCCCGCAGTTTTCAGGTATTTAATGGTTTACAAGGGGTTAATTTTTAATTGTTTTTGCTTGATTTTGGGTTACTGGAAATTTATGTTTTTTTAAATATTTAAAATTTTTGAATGAGGAATAAGGAAATTCAAGTTTAAGTTTAAAGTTTCTTTTAAGCTTAAGCATTTCAACCCTAAACTCATTGAAAAATCCCAACTGTTGTCTAAACTCCATATTCTCCATAATAAATAGTCAACGATTTCCGAGTCAATATTACTATATAGTTATATCCATTCCAGCCATTGATCCCGACCGCAACACTTAGTCAGCGTATCGAGTTCCGAAAATATCATGTTTTTTTTTCTGTAAAGTTCACACAACCAAAACGAGAGATAGAAAAAGTGAACAAAAAGGAAACACAACTATAGGAACGGAGAAAATATTTATGTCAAATGTGTAATTCCCAAATCACTTAATACTCATCAACTAATGAGGCCTAAAAGCTTCGAGCGCCGACGGATGTGTTGGACAATAACAACTTCAACTAATATCCATATCTATCTCTCGTCTTTTGTGTGTGTTCCCAGTGTGTGTGCGGAGGGAGGTTTCTCTATCTCATTTATTTATTTTGAAATTGTTGCGAGTACATATTTCATTTTTTTTTTTGTGTCTCCCTTGCTACCTCCTCCTCCTCTTCTTATTTTTCGGCTAAAACACAAAATGCAGGAAATGGACGTGTTGACAAATAAACGATGTCTACCCTGTCCAATATTTGCCAATATGTGTATCCATGAATTAAACACAAATTTCACTTAGGTATACGTTGTTTGAAAATCAAATAGAGGTACTATATACTATATACAGGGATTATGACAAAAAAGGAAAGTTATTTTTAAAACAAGTTGGGAATTTTAAACAGGGTCTTAAGTGTGGAATTTTAATCACATCTTTGAGATATTTTTTAAACCCTAAAGATATTCCTTTTATAGCTGAATTTTACTTTTAATAAATGCATTTGACGTTTTTGGTTCAACTTCCCTTAGATCCAACCACCTCTCTACCGCTCATTTAGCCCCAATGAATTTGACGGCGTCTCATTAGTCACATTTAAAATTGTATTTAATTACTTTCTCACTTCATCATCAGTCAAGTCGGTGGGTCGGACGACGCCTCGTCATTGGCGTTCCTCCTGCCAGGGTGGTGCTCTTTGCTAGGGTGGCCTCCCCTACGGCTGCCCAGATACAGATACATATATACAAGATACAAGATACATATACATGCCACAGCGTTCGCCGCTTGTTTGTTTCACAGACAAGTCGGCGAAAATTGATATACTCTGCTGCCGTTGCTGCACTGAGATAAAAACAAATCAACTTTCCTAAATTAAATACAAAATCCGATAAGTTTTAAATAAAATTTAAATAAATTGAAAACATACTTCTCGAAAATATCAAAATTCTAACGTTCAATGCTATCGATCGACATCAATTTAATCTTAAACACCATATCGATATTTTATATTTAAAACCGATATTGATCGATACCTAAAAATTTGATAATAAGTAGGTAACGTTATCCTTATTAAAAGCACAGTAAGACCCACTAAAAAATGACCCATTTTAGCAATATTTCTCTTAATGTATGGATCGACATTTCTTTGCTGCCGCTGCCTCAGTCGGCGTTGCTGCCTTTCATCAATTTCAAATTAGTGAAAATCGAGAAACGGAAATTATTTACTATCTGGAGATGGGCGGGTGGATGTCCGTGGGATGAGCAGCAGGAGCAGCAGCAATCTATCCATCCATCTATCTACCGCCTTGGCCATTACAAGTGCAATTTATCTCGCAAATCATTAATCAACCTACCGTTTGTTTTACCTCCCACCACCCACAACCCACTCCCCGGCCCAAAACACACACCCGCCAGTTTGGCAATTGTTTTCCGCCAGCTTTTTGTGTACATAATATTTATCGGCGTGAATTTGGCAAACCGCAAATGTGAGTGACTTGGCCCCTCCCATTCGATTGGGAAAATCAACAAGCAACTCACACGGGGATTCGGCAAATGAAAAGGGCTATAAAGCATGATTGAACGATACGCAGACTGAGCCAATACTAGTGCACCAAACTTAACACTGGGCAGCAAAGTATAGGGTTTTAAGAAATGAATATCAAAAACAGTTTTGATAAATTTGTAAAAATTTATTTTTTTGAATCAATTTTAAAAATATCTCAATATTATTCTATACTGTGAAAATATAGTAACCTTGTTTCGTATACTAAATATTATTTAAATTCGTGATTTCATAAGTTTTTTAATACCAGAAATGTTAGTTTAAGCATAAATTCATCAGCAATGTGAAATAGTGTATCTTCGTATCTCACAGATACACAAGCACACCTTTGCTTCAAGAGTGTATCTGTGTGTGTATCGGAACGAGCGAATGAGCGGTCGACCACTCACACACATACACACAAATCGGGCATTGCATGGATATGGATTGCGATTACAAATTTAATTTAATTGACCGCCTCTCGGTCCCTGCCACCACTATTTCAATTGGGAATTGGTGGAACGGCCATCTGATTGGTGGATTCAACTCATCGTCTATCAGAGAGAGAGAGAGAGCAAACGAGCTTGGCGAAACGACGGCAAATGGAACATGAACATGCCCAGCCGGTGCTACGCACAGTGGTTACTAGTTCTATTTTTTCAGACAAACTGATTCTGAACACAACTCGGAAAGGGGAATGGAGAACCTTATTCTTATAAAATATCTTATAGATATATCGTTTCGTTGGCGCTACCCAACTTATCAGACCACTTGCTGTCGGGGTTTGTTTTTGCCTTTACATTGAAGCTTAGGATTCCCAACGGGTTTAAGCTTAGATTGAAGGTAAAGTTCCAAGAAAATTGCTATATTTAAAATAAAATTGGATGCCGGTAATAAATCTATGCGTTTATTCGTTTCCTCTTTTCCATAGTACATAATTTCATCCCCATTGTTCCGCGAGAGAAAACGGGTGTGAGAGAGAGACAATGGGAGTAAGCGAGCGAGAGAATAATTTCTTTCCATCATTCCCAATTGGAGTTCCATTCCCATCGTTGCAAGCGATTGAATCTTTTAGTTGAAAGCAGCGCCTGCAGTTGAAAATTGATAGCGGCAGCGATCGGCTGAAAATCTTATCATTGCTAAAAAGCTAAACAAGTTCGCCTATTATGTTAATCGGATATAATCTGTCGCTATAATATTAATTTCGAACTAGGGCCAGATCAGTGATTTCGGTTTGATTTGGCTTTCGAATGATGACGTCGGTGGTGCGTTTCGGCTAACGGATTTTAAAATGTTTAATTAAAACCATAAGCAACAACAACTGTTTTAAAGTGCTATCTGATTCGTGTTCTGTGTGTGTAAATGTGTCAGCAAAAACCCTGCACTAAAGTCTTAAATAATAAATAACTCGAAGCGATTGCAAATAATATTTGCAACTCAATACAAACAAAAGAGCATTGGTGCCGAGCAACGGTTCCTTGGCGCTCTCTCCTTTCCGCCTACGCTTTCAAGTACAAGAGTAACGGTGAACCAATGCAGGCGACAAAAGGAATGCCGAAAAGAAGCTAGAAACACAAAGAAAACAAAAAGTGTGGTGTGCCAAATAATTGCAACTAAAAATTAATATATTCGCTGTTCGGATTAATCGGATATTTCGGGGTGAAGACACAAAAAACTCCGCTTCAATGCAACTGCGTGTGCACCCTAATATGGACTGTCGTTCAACCAGCAATATTGAACGCGATTCCGATTTGGGAGACGATTTGGTAAGGATATTTAATGTATATGTATTTTATATATATATATATTTAATATACATTGATAGTATTTATCAAAGATAATATATGTATATATAAATATATATAATATATTTCTGTTTTAAAATTCCGAATTTTACAAATAAAAATTTAATAAAAATATAAGGAATAATGTAACTTCTTTATTATTATAAATAATAATCTTTTAAATAAGCGAGGAAGCGAAAGCCTTGTAAATATTAATAAAAATTAAACCTGATTAGTAATAATGTACCAATAGATCACTGTTGCTCTCAATATGTAAATCATTATCAGATCATGATCAGCCCAATATCATGCTTTAAAGTAATAAAGATAACCCTAAGTGCCGTTATTGTTTAAATCCAATCTCTTTTGATCTACAAATAGAGTTCTAGAACGCTTTTCCCCATTCCCCATTATTGCTATCTGATAAACAAAATACCAATTCGATGACTAATTTTGTTAATATATGTATTTCTGTATTGTCTTTGCATAAATCAATCAACTTCGAGAGGATCACTTTATCCATTTCATGTCAAATAAATATATATTTTTGTTCTATCGCAATTTTAAAGTATTTTTCCAAGGTATACATTTCACCAAATGTAATTTGTCAAACATTCAAATTAATAATGTATTCAACCTTTCATCTATCCATTATATATAGAATTTGATTTGTTTTTTACTTGACCGAAGCGGTAATTTGAGTAACTAATGCATCAATTTCCATTTGCCACGCGAAAATATTATTTAATCTTTGGAGCGGATAGAAAAAGAGTGACAACTGGTGGGGGGAATTTGGGGGGGTATAATATCTCATGACAGGTGCGAGCTGCTTAACATAGATCCAGAAGAAAATAGTGATTTGCCGGCGGCAAATGGAATAATAATTCCCCACTTTCCATATATATTTTTAACCGATTTCACCACGATCTCTTGTTTGGTTAGCAACTTATATCTTAGCTTTTTTACTTTTTTTTGCCCCCGAACCGAAAGGCAATTCATGCAATTCGACTCACATTGTTTGCAGATGATTCAAAAGGTAATTATAATGTTAAGAAAATATATATGTTGATTCAATCGGAATTGGGAACCGGAGAAAGAGAGAACGAGACTTGGATTTTTGGCGTTTCTGTTTGCCGGAGAGCCGTTAAAAGGTGACATGCTAAATGGTCGCATACAAGACGGTTATTATACAGCCGCGATTCGAGATACTCGGATACTCACACATTGATCGGGGGAGGCTAAGTGCATAACATACTCATAAATACAAATAGATTCATCTGTTTCGGGGGCCCCCATCTATAGTAGCTAGCGGTGGGATCTCGTTCACAATTTCCATCGATTGAAAGATCTCTTTCAATTCAAGCTCTTTGATGGCGTTCATATGTAAATAAATTGTTCAAATATTTGCATTATTTGTTAGTACCTTAAATGAATATTAAATGGGTTTTATTGCCTTTCAGGCCTTTCGGCCATTCGCTTCCAGGTATGCAGGTTCAGCCTCAGCCTCAGCCTCAGCATCTCGTCTTCAATTCAATAAAACTCTTGTTAGTTTTTTCTGCCTCTTTGTTTTTCTTTCATTTTTATTATTGTTAATAGACATTGCCGGCTTGATCAACAATGAGCCAGACTTTATACACTCACTCCCGTGGCCGGCTATTTACATAATTTTTAATAGCCATCTCAGCTCCATCGGTTCCATCGGCTCCTCTGGGCTGTGCAAACACAATCTCGGATCGGATCCCTTCTCTCAGTCATCATCAAAAATGCTGTTTGGATTCAGCCTTCGATATTCCCTTCTTGGCGGTGGTGTTAATTGAAGGGTTTCTGGAGGAGATGGGCTGCCTCACAATTGAATATCCACATGTGGGTGTTATTTAATTAACCCGACTCCCTTACCCACACACACACACAAACCATCTTATCCAGCTAATATGCTGGTGTCATTCGCACATCCGATCTGAAACAATCCGTATTTCTATTCAAATCAAATCCTGCGGTCGCCACTCGCTCTGATTTTCGACTCGAAAGTCACGATTAAACAATAATGTGGGCTGTCAAAAAGTCATAAATTGTCGAATGAAACCAAGTCCGAGAGACCAAATCGTGCCCATGTCTGAGGCCCAGAATGCCCAGCATCAGCATCGTCATCCGAGCATCGCTTTAATTACTTGGGTTAAACGCAGAGTTTAAAATTATTGCTGAATTGCTGCTTGTCGGTAATTTTTGAATCGTTTTTAAATTAAATCAAGCCCGCGAACATGACTTTGGACAATTGAGAGTTTGCCGCTCGTTTTTCTGGGTTTTGATTCTGACCACTACCACTCTGGCCTGCACGTGCTTCGGGCAGAGTTCCCACATTAAATCACAGGCCATGGGGAGCGGGGGAATCCCCAAAAAAAAAAAGAATCTCAGCGGTTGGTAATGGCTTTGACTGGCTGGCGTTGGGTGTCTGCCCTGGATTCACACTTTGCTTTGATTTTAACAGCATTTTCCATACATATTTATGATCATTTTAATGTGAAAGCGGGGTTTGGGAAAAGTTATAAATTTAATTAGGTTCGGGCATCTTGTTTAATGGGGGTTTTGTATTTCTCAAAAATTTTGGGCAGTAATACAAGGGAAGGGATTAAGTTATAGAAGAATATAATTAAAAATTAAAATATGCGGAAAAGTATAAAGTAACAGCTTTCAGACTAATCAATCGAATGATGTCCTTTTGTGTTCATCCATTCATTTGTGTTCATCCATTGATATGTGTTCATTCAATATTAAAGAGTCTTTGGTTCATAATACCAAAGCTTTCATTATTAAAAATTAATACTCATACTAAATTTAAAAAAAGTAATTATACCACTTAGGATTCTGACTATATAAACCATAATTCATGATGAAATACCTAAAATGAATCAAATGAATAAACTTTCCAATAACAATTTCCTTTAATTACGAAATCATTTACCTGTTTTGTTGAGGGGTTAACTGTTTCACACTTGGTTGATTCAAAAGCAAGCCAGATTGGGCCACTTACTGGCACCCTTCTCCCCCCCTTTCATCACCCATCCCCCTCTCCTGCTACCCCTGTCCCTGGGCCAGCGAACCATTTGGATCGGACGAGCAGCGGCACCTGTTATAATTTGTTTGGCTTCTTGTACGCTGACAGGCAACGATTTTTATTAAATTCTTCCGCGGCTCTTCTTTATTCTCCTCCGGTCTTCCTCTTGCATAACCATATAGCAGGGGAAATATTTGATTAAGTATCTAGTGGGGGCCTTTGGGGATGACATGTCCGTGACTCTTTCCCCTCCACATGAATATTTCTTTTCTTTATTTTTTTTTGGATTTTGGTTTTTGGTGGCGCTTTCAACCGCAATGACAAACGAAATTTGTTTTGCTTTTAGTTTCTGGTTTGTGGCGCGAACTTGAAACTGCCCAAAAAAGGGGGAGGAACTGGGCGATATGTCACGTCATTCGTGGCAAAGTCAGTTTATATATAGGTTTCCTTTTTTTCAATTTAAAATTTACAACAAATGCAGTCTGGCGACAAAAACAGCGCAATAACAACCGAAATAGATCGTAAAAAAATATGATTATTATTGGTACTATTACGGTTTTGCACTTTTCGTATTGTTTTTAATGAATTTATGAATTATTTTGCAACCATAGCTAATAAAACTGTTAATTGGATTTTTCCAGTACAGCTGCTGGCGATTGCGAAAAAAAGAGTGTAAATAAACGGCAAGAAAAGGCGAATTGCAAATTGCGAATCGCAAAACGAAAATGTGAATATGCGAGGGCACGAACTGGGTAGATCGGTGTGTGTGGATAAAAAGTGTATTTATCAGCGTGCTAATAAAGCCCCAGAGCTCTCTCTATATGGGGGTATATATCCATCTCCCTTTGAACTAAATGTGAGCTAAAATGGGCGTGGCCAAACGGCTCAAGGGGATTTAGAGAGAGAATAGCTTGAGCATTAACAAATTGAATAATCAAGAGCTGGCAAACAAATTATTATTATTATTGTTGTATTTAGGCACTAAAAACATCCTTGTTTAATGTTTGGCTGCCTCAGCTCACTTCACACCTGAGTGCCCCCTAAAATTGAAGGAAGCCAAACAAATGGGTGCTGAAATCAATATACAACCGATTATTATTGATTTCAGAATGTAATCAATACTTTGGGATGAATTTGGAAATTTAAATAACTTTTTATAGGGAAGGAACTACTGGAAATATTTTTTGGTAATCATATAAAGGTTCATATTAAAACTTTTCATTGTCTTTAAATGATTTTCTTCTCCTATATTATTATATTATTAGAAATCTATTATATAATTTTTATAGGTTTTTTTAAAGGAACCAATAGTTGTATTCCACATCCTCCTTAGCTCTTTAACTTACCTCCTAGAAAGATTCTTTGATTTATAGTCTTTTTGCAAAGTTAGCAAATTCTCTTTAGTAAAAACAAAAAACCATTCTAGAAAGTGGGGTCTGGGGCGAACTTTCTTTATGCGGCGACACCCAGTCATAAAATGGATATATTTTGGGACTGTACCTCCTTGTATTCCCCTCCTCCTCCTTGTTTGGATCCAATAAAGTGAGGTCTTAGCGTCCAGACAAGACAGCCAGACTTGCGGGCTGGCCAAGGCAATAAAATAATGCAGTTTTTAATTATTGCCGCCTGCAATCGAAGCTAGACGCAGTGAATCCACCCCGGAGACTTGAAGCTCCCAGACCCAGACTTTGAATCCAGAGAGACTCGAGAAGTGGGACTTTGGCGTAAAGGCCGAAAAACTTCAGACGGAGAACTTATCAGGCGGGGACCCAGCCCAACAATTACACGGGGAAAATTATTTTTAACTAAATAATTAGTTATTCTAGCTTATTTCATTGTAATTTATAATATTTTGTCTCAAAGAATTTCTTGAAAATATATAAGAAATATATAAAATGGGATTTAAGAACTAGTTTTTGAATTGAAATAA